AATCTCGGTGACTGGTCGAGAATCATGGCGTAAAAAAAAAAAAAAAAAAAAAAAGGGACCACCTAGGAAGAGATACAATGAGAATGATAATGGATGAAGTTATACATGCACTTCATTAAGAACAAACACAGGAAGAGAAGTTAGAGACATGAGGAGAGACATATTTTTCATTCAGTTATATACACAGCACGACTGACGTATCTTTACACTATCATAGATATTACATTAATGCCCTCAGAAGATTTAAGTAAACAAGTATGGTGAGGAGAACTGATTTGCAGGAAGATGATAGCCAACAATGGAATCCCACCTTATGATCATGGAAGGTTTGATGACCAGACCATAAAGCAAAGCAGGGCCAGACAGGGAACGTGTCCCAGCTTTTACAAGCGGGTTGTGGAACTTGACTGGGAAGAGATACAGTGAGAATGATAATAGATAAAGTTAAACGTGCACTTCATTAAGAACCATAAGTGACCCATTTCTCAACCATCCTAACTACAAGGCAAGTCATTCTTAGCACCCTAAGTATGACCATTACCCTTTCACATGATTCTGATGAAATACCAATATGTAAGATGATAAAGAGGTTACTACAGATAAGTGTTAAAGGCAGTATCAGCTGATTGACCTCTAACCAATTTAAACAGGTCTTCAGAAAAAGGGCAGGATAAAAGTACCTATCCAGTCCATCGCATACACCCCGAAGTTGCATGAGTTCAGTTGTCTAGCAAAATGAGCATATCGTCCACTGAAAATGAAATATAAAAAGAATATTATTATCCAGCAAGCACCAAACTATAGATAAGCATTGTACTTTATTCAGTACTGAAGCAAGAAGGCTTAAACAACTCGCATTAGCCAAGACACCTATTCTTCTAACAGCAGCTATCCCTCCCCACCCCCAAAGATTAAAAAAGGCTACCAAACAATTTACCTGTGCTCATTCAGTCCGTGGATGACGATAATTATGCCCCTGAAACAAAAAACTAACCAATAAGAAACAATTTAAGGAAAACACTGAAAATGTCACAAAAGAGATAGCTGACTTGTAGCAGATTGGAAAAGACAAATATCAAAATTTGCAGCACCATTGCTCCTTAGATCAATCAAAGAGAGTGAATTTAGACAGAAACACTGAAAAAGGCCATCTTTAGTTTCTCTGTTAATGTAATCAAATAAGAATATGTCAAATGTGGTGAAGCCAAGATAGAAATGAAAAATAGTTCCATTAGGTTTTATACATGATATATTTAACTGCATTCTGTACTAAAATTAAATGAAACTCTTCTAACGACTCTGATGAACTAATCAGGGGGGGTTGTCATTATGCAACCATGCGTTTGTGTTTTCCATTCTTTTAAGCTGAAATAGTCATATCTCAACTACGCCATCCCCACCAAAAGCACTACCAAGGAAAAATTCTTTGCCTCGTTAGACAGTTGGTACAAAAATCTCAGTCTTAGTAAATAAAACACACATAACGTAAACATTTTGCATTTTCATTCATTTAATTTGTTCAATTTGGCTTTTCCTCCCATACATTAACTCCCCACATCAACAAACATAGTCAACTGCAATTGCATAATTGATACAGATTATCTAGGACTTAAATAAAAATTATTTAGCTGTATGAATCCTTAATTTCGTTCCTCTGATCACAACTAATTTAGGCGATTTGTCATTATTTTACTTTCTATTTTGAAGATTTTACTAAATAAAGCACGAAAATTTGCAAACAGAGAGGAAACTTGAACATACTTCAATTCACCGGAAACCGGAAACCACGATCGGCAAAACAAAGCATTCCGACGGACGCTAAAGAACAAAGACGTGTTCCACCGGCACCGGCAACCGTCATCGCCGGTCTCATTCTCAACCACCATCTCTAACGCCTCAGCAAGCGCCCTCCTTCTCTGCGTATCCTCTTCATCTCTCCGCAGAGCAAATTTCCTCCTCTTCCCTGACGCCGTTGACGTGGCCGCCGAAGACGGCGAAGGCGGAGGAGACGACGGCGACGTGGAAAACCGGCGTCGAGATAACAGAATTACCCAGAGGAAAATGGACTGTAAGAAGATTGTTAATCGCCGCAAAGTTTCGTATGAGAAAACCGACCGCCGGAGATTTTTGAATAACGGAATTATCCGGCCACTTGCGCCGGAGGTTAACTCCTCCACCGGTAATGATGATTCCATCAATAAAACGCGATATATTGCACGAGATACAAATAGAAACAATATTCGGAGATATAGAGGAATTGAAAAATGAAAAAATGGGGAGAACAAGAAATTTACAGAGAAAGTTTTGGTGGGGTATTTATAGAGAAAATGTGAAGGGGTTTTTGGACCAAAAAAGGAAACAAAAATTTATTTACAGAGAAAGGAGGAGGAATGAGGATGATGACTTTTTGGTTTTTGCTGATAAGGTAAACGTTGACAGGAAGATACACACGGTTTGATTCTCTGTGGAGACGGTGCAGGGTTATATACCTAAACGTTGACGTGGATGACTTTTATTGGTTGTTGGGCAAGAAGGTCAAAATAGGAAGGTGAAAAGAGGTTACACATTTGTCGCAGATTTGGAGGAAAAAGGATCGGATTTGGACAGCGTATTGTCAACGAAGAAAAAAGAAAGAAAAACAAAAAGAACTATTAACACGCTAAAAATTTATCAACACGGTTACACTAATTATAACATGACTTAATAATTACTGAATTATTCGTATATATACATATATTTTTAAATTTTTTTCTCCTTTTGTATATGTTTGATGCATTGTATTAAAAATAGAATATATGGTTTGTAACATAAAGTAAATTATTCTATCATAATTTTTGAAGTAAATAATAGGTAGAAAGATGAAATTGATGATATTTGGTCTTTTAAACGTTTTATTTCTGTAAAGTTAATCTTCAAATAAGATATTTTTCAAATTTATATAACTGAATGGCCCATGCCCATTACTGATATTAATCTATATCTATTCTATATTATTACTCTATTAAAAGCATTAACGCTCTTAGCGAAATGTTGTTCGCCTTTTTTGTCATCTAAAAATAAATTTCACGTTGAACATAATTGTAATTTAAGTTACTTTCCTAATCATCTAAAAATTTGGTTATTAAATATTTTTTTATTGAACTAAGTAAGAAGTCCTAATTTTTAGCCTTTGGCTATCATAACATACTTATTAATTAATTAATAAGAAAACGTGAGTTTTTTACACCAAATAGAATACTATTTAATAATGTTTTAGGTGAGTTCTTTAATAATATTTACCTACAATAAAGGAATAAAACTTAAAACAATTGTTTTTTCTTTTCATTTCAAACTTGATCTTTATCACCAATGTATGTATATATATTTTGAAATTCCTCAATTTTATGTTAAATATTATTAAAAACATTTCATTTAATAGTTATTTAATTTTTAAAAAAATATACAAGATTAGCACTAATAATATTATTCAATATTATACTTGTAACTTTCAAAAATTTTAATGCACTATTATAATTATGAGCAATATTGAGCAAAAATCAATAAAAGTCACAAAATTAACAAGATATACATTTAACAAAATATGAGTGGGTTTATTAGCTAGCTTTCAATTGTAGATTCTCTTACTAGCTTGCTTTATTTCTTATTTTTTAATGCCTTTTTTTTGTTTATTATTGCACTTTGATTTTAATTTCTGTTTATTTAAAGTTCGTAGATTATTGGCTATTTGCTTATACGTTGTAAGTTGTATCCTTCAAGATTATTTAGATTACTAGGTTCTTGCCCGTAAAACTGAAATTCTGAAATTTTAAACTTGGAATAAATTTTAAGTTGAACTATTGATGTTGAGGACTTCTAAGATAGTTTCTTTAATTATTCAGTTAGTTATACACAACCAATATTCATGATCTTCTTTAGGAAATTACACTTTTATTTTATAACTTTATATTATTTTTTAAATAAATTTATATTCATTGAGACAGGATTCAAGTGCATCGCGTGTACCGTCTAGTTAAGTATTAAATGTGTAAAAATTTGTAACGTATATAAGATTATAAGAAAGGATAAGTTACGAACATGAAAGGTAAACATGCATTACTCCGGAAATATTTTTTCTTAAGGTTTGTAACTTATGTTCATTTACTGCTCCCATCTTTTTAATTGTATTTATATGTCTTTATTTAATTTTTTGAAAGGGGTGAAAAGAATAATGAATAAGAAAATAGACATAGTAGTATTTTGGAAAGTTCTATGCAGGGAACAGGAGATATGTTTCAGATTTTCACGTATATATACAATGAATATGATTCTTAAACAAGAAATAAAAATTCAATTTTGTGTTATTCCCTAAGAACTTGCGGAGTAAACAAGACTCAAAGAGTATTGCCATCCATGTGAAACACTTCCTTTTCTCATACTACATTACTTTCTTGTCTTTTTTTCTTTTCTTTTTCTTTTCTTAGAAAACATAACAATCCAATGAACTTGTAGTTTCTTTTATATGCTAGAATTAAGAAAGAAAAACTAATCTATATCTATATCTATATATTATATTAAAAGGGGTAGTGAAGCATAAGATTAAGTCAAGTGTCATATTGAGGAAAAAGCCGCTGACATTTTTAAAACAAAATTTAAATGGATTTTATGACAAAATCTAAGATAGATCAACAACATTAGGACAAAATCTAATCTAAATTGTTTAAGAAATGTTTCTATAATAATTTTTTATTTAAGGAATACTCCTTTTAATTTTGGTCCAAGTGATAAAAGAAAGGAGTGAATTTCACTGATTTTCCTTTGTGATACATTTCAACTCAAGGCTTAGTTTATGTGATATTATCCCTTTAATTTAGGTGCTCATTTAATAGCAAAATATTTGGTTTATCCGATATGATATATATGCAACGTCATTATTTATCTATATTTATATTCTAAAATTTTATATTATTAAGAGAATAATAATTTACAATGTGTTTAATTAAAGCGACATATTAAGCGTAAGCAAAATTAGGACAAAGCTAATAATATATATAGCTTTGTCCTAATTTTGTTATATATATATATATNAGTGACATATTTTATGAGTGATTAGAAGTGAAAGTTTGAATGAATACAATTTGAAGCTGTTTTTGAATTTTTATGAGTGATTTGAAGTGAACGTTTTGAAAAATAGCTTTTTTGGAGTTTTTAAAAATTTTCGAAATTCATTTTCAGGTGAAATTTGAAATTTTCATGGCCGAACAGTGTTTCCGAAAAAAGTGAAAATTTTATATTGCCAAACGGGCCCTTAGTATTCTTTAATATTGACCGTAGAACGAAATGGAAGTAATAAAATCAAGAAATTATGTTGTTACAGATTTAAAAAGAAAAAGAAAATATGTTATCCACTACGACATTTGAGAAATGATTTCATGTTCTCTTCTTAATTAAGATCTAATAATTATCTATAAATTTTATATGAAAGTTTAAATACTAAGGTTATTTGCACATAAGCTAAATAATCTAAATCATAATTTGACATGATTGATGCCCGCGCATCGCGCGAATACTAATACTAGTTAACTTTAATGATAGCAACCATTATTTTTGGGTCTTTTGTGTTACCTATTGCAAGAAATATTGCCCTTCCTCCGGCTTATCAACAGTGGTATCACAAGCATTCTTTGTATCATTTTATTAGTTTCGTTTTATTAATAAATGGTGTAAAATATATTTATATAATCAGATTATTTTAAAGTAATTAAAATAAATATGTATAAATTAATTAGTGACCTTATAAAATAATACTCTATGTGTTTTACTTTATGTGATACATTACCATTTGAAGAGTGTTTTTTTTTAAAAAAAAATTATGTTTCTTTCAATTTTTTTAATTTTTTTTAATTGTTAACTGCCATAACTTATAGTACTTTTTATGCAGTTTCCAAACATGTAGATTTTTGTAACGATCCGACTTGTCGTTTTAAGAATTTACGTTCCATTCGGTGGCTTAAGGTCTCGAGCAGCTTTGAAATGTGTATTATGACTTGCGAGGGTGGTCAAGTTTGGTTTTCGGATGATTCAGGATTTAATTGAAAGAACAATTCTTGTTTTGGAAGCTTAAGTTGAAATAATTGATTGAATAGTGAATTATGTGTAAACGACCCCGAAATGGAGTTTTGATGATTCCTATAGCTCTGTATGATGATTTTGGACTTAGGAGCATGTCCGAAATTTTTTTTGGAAGTCCGTAGTGAAATTTTGCTTGAAATGACAAAAATTGAATTTTTGGGAAGTTTGACCGGGGAGTTGACTTTTTGATATCGGAGTCAGAATCCAGTTCTGAAATTTTTTATAGATCCGTTATGTCATTTATAACTTGTGTGCAAAATTTGAGGTCAATCGGAATTGATTTGATAGGTTTCGGCATCGAATGTAGAAGTTAGAAATTCTTAAGTTCCTTAAGCTTGAATTGGGGTATGATTCACGGTCTTAACATTGTTTTATGTGATTTGAGATTTCAACTAAGTTTGTATGATATTTTAGAACTTGTTGGTGTATTGGGTTGAGGTCTCGAGGGCCCCGGGTGAGTTTCGGAGTGGTTTCGGATCATTTTTAACTGTTGGTTTTTTTGACAGCAATGTGCGAAACTTTTGATGCGCAGAGCTGATTTTGAAAACTTATATCTCAAAATTTTTAAAGAATCTGGAAATTATTAAAACATGAAAGTTGTAGCTCTTTGATTCTAGTTTCCACAATGATAAACTATTCATCATTCGGACATTTGTACAGAAAGTTATGATCGATTGACTGAAGCTGGTACTATAATTTTTGGCTACAACAGTGTGCATGGCCAGAAATTTCTGCTGCACAGGGCTGACTTTGAGAGCTTATATCTCGCAATCTATAAGGAGTTGGGAGATGAGCAAAACATGAAAGTTGTATTCCTTTGTATCTAGTTTGCAGAAATTTAAACTGTTTGGCAGTTGGAGTTGAGTACAAGAAGTTATGGTTGATAAATCATATGCTATTGGGGAAGAGTTTTGGAAGAGTTTGATGTTTTCAGCATAAGCATGTAATGATCCAAAAGTTTATTTTTAGTTCTAGAAATCGAAATTCGATTTCGAGACTTTTGAGATTTTGATAATGAATTATAGGAGTGATCTGAAAAGTTTGATCTAATTTCATCAAGTCGCGATTGGATTTTTAGCGCGAAACATGAGTTAATTGTTTAACGAGCGAAATTAGTATCGCATTGAGCAAATGAGCTCCAAATTGAGTTTTGATTGAACGACTAGGTTCGTATTATTATTTATGACTCATAGGAACAAGAATCGTTGAATTCCGAGTTCGTATGATGGAGTTAGAGCCTTTTTAGTGAAAACAATAACTGCTGGTGCAAATAAGTTCTGGT